GCCCCTGTCTCTCTTTAGGGACCCTTCTCACAAGCAACTCCTCGCTCAGCAGGTAGGAAAACCTCCTAATGCTGGGACCGGTGGAGGAGGTCCCTTGGGATATGAAGGGAAAAGGATTCTACTCCCGATATTTTCCTAATCCTGAAAGCAAAAGGGGGCCCAAGACTCATCCTGGACCTGCCTCACCTCAGCAAGCAGCAAGCATCTCAAGAAGTTGAAATTTTGCATGGCCTCTGTGGCCTCCATCATCCCTTCCCTGGATCCGGTACACCGCCCTGTACTTGAACAACATATTTCCATTTCCCCAGGACACAGACAGTTCCTCTGTTTTGTGTTGGGCCAGCACCATTTCCAATTCACGGCACTGCCCTTTGGTCTCTCATCAGCCCCAAGAGTATTTACAAAGTGCATGGCGCCAGTGGCCGTTTACCTTGGAGTCCGGGTGTTCAAATTTACCCATGCCTCGATGACTGGCTGATCAAGGGCCAGTCTTGGCATCAGGTGTGGCAGCACCTTGATCTGGTTTGCTCCACATGTCACGATCTAGGTCTATTGATAAATGAGAAAAAAAACAGATGTTAGTGCCAATGCAGTGCATAGAGTCCATAGGAGTGGTCCTTGACCCTACTTGGGCCGTGGAATCGAACAGAAAGTGTTCCTTTCCTTTCTTTTCATCCCCAAAACCTGATTCTGTGCTATGTCAGACCTAATCTCACATATGCAAGACCACCCACTCACCACTGCTCATATGTACTTGAGGCTGTTGGGCCTTGTGGTGGTCCGGCATGCATGGCTCCATCTCAGGCCCCTACAGGCGCGGCTGGCGTCGGTCTGTGTCCCCAATAGACACAACATAGATTGGGTAGTCAAGGTTCTGGACCGCATCCTGTTGTTGCTCACTTGGTGGTTGGACCCCCGCATCAGTGTTGGAGGCGAGTCCCCTTCGTGGCCCCATCAGTTACCCTGTTCTCTGATGCTTCGGATCTGGGGTGGGCATGCAAGGTCATTGGTCGAGTGCGATCGCTCCTTACACACAAATGTCAGGGAGCTCAAAGCAGTATGCTTGGCCTGTCAAGCTTTTCTGCCTCATATAAAAGGCAAGGTGATTCAGGTCCTGACTGGCAATACTGCTGCTATGTTCTATATCAACAAGCAAGGCGAAGCCTGGTCCTCAGCTCTTTGCCAAGAAGCCCTCAGGGTCTGGAACATCCATGTTCAGCCCGCCATTCATCTCGTGGCTGCACACCTCCCCGGGATGAGAAACTTTGGCAGATCACCTCAGCAGGACCCTCTTGTGTTGCCATGTGTTGTTGCTCCATCGGGAGATAGTCAGCATTATTTTCCAAAGGTGGGGGACTCCCCAGGTGGACTTGTTTTGCATCCAGGCACACTTTCTGTTCGTTTCAGGGGACCGACAAATGTTCCCTGTGATGTACGCCTTCCCTCCAGTGCCGTTAATCTAGAGTCCTCATGAAGATCAAGCAGGACAGATGGAAAGTGATCCTTATAGCGCCATCTTGGCCGTGCAAGCACTGGTTTGGCATGTTGCTGGACTTCTTGGTGGCTGCCCCGTTACAGCTACTGCTCCAGCTGGCCCTTTTGTCTCAGAACCATGGCAGGCTGTTACATCTGAACCTGATGGCGCTGCACCTGATGGCCTGGCTGCTGCATGGTTGAATGCAGATGAGCGGCTGTGCTCGGCCAGTGTCCAACAGGTCCTGCTACCAGAGCAACCTGCCTGGCCAAATGGAAATGGTTTACATGCTGTACTTCAGATAAACGTATTCCACCCGAGAGGGCCGCACTGCAGTTAATCCTGGATTACTTCCTGCATCTTAAATTCCAGGGTCTGTCTCTTTCATCGGTTAAGGTCCACTTGGCTGCTATTTTGGCCTTTCATCCTCCGCTCGAGAGCAGGTTGATTTTCGCCCATGACATGACTGCCAGGTTCCTCAAGGGCCCTCACATCAGTAGGGCCCCATTCCTCCGTGGGACCTAAATCTTGTGCTGTTGCAGATCACGGGAGCTCCCTCCTCTCCTGAAAGGTTGCTTTCTTGGTGATTTACATCTGCCCACAGGGTCTCCGAGATTAGGGCCCTTACCTCGGAGCCGCCTTACATGGTGTTTACAAGGACACGGTCCAACTGCGACAGCGTCTGGCCTTCCAACGCAAGGTTGTTCTGTAGTTTCATATGACTCAGGACATATTCTTACCTGTCTTCTTCCCTAAACCTCATAAGTCGGAGGAGGAAGCACAGGTTGCACTTTCTGGACATCAGAAGGGAGCTAGCCTTCTACATGGAGAGGACCAAGCCTTTTCATAAGTCACCACCGTTATTCGTCGCAGTTGCCAACAGGATGAAAGGTTGTCCAGTGTTGGCCCAGAGAATCTCATCTTGGATTACTGCCTGTTAAGATGCTGGCTTTGGTAGACCAGTATTGCAAGCTGTACCACCATGAACTCCAAGTCCACCTCCATAGATACTGATTATGAGTCCCTTAGAATGGAGTCAACATGAGCAAGCACTCGAAGAAAAAACTGTTACCTACCTTTCGTATCTGGTGTTCTTCGAGCTGTGTTGCTCATGTCCATTCCATTACCCATCCTCCTGCCCCTCTGTTGGAGTTGTCGGCAAGAAGGAACCGAGAAGGCATAGGGCTGGCGGCACCTGCTGTGCCAACGCATGAGCGTAGGACTCAAGGGGGTGCCACAGCCCTCCCTATGGCAAAAATCTCCGATGACTGTGCATGTGGGCACGCACACACCTAGAATGGAATTGACATGAGCAACACATCTCGAAGAATAACAAGAAGTAGGTAACTGTTTTGTTGTTTTCCCAGATTTCCAATACGTTCGTCTTTTAAACATAGGTGGATATATGGTTGCAAAAATGAAGGAATGATGTGTAGCCTTAATCTCAATGCATAACAAGAAAATAGCTTTCCTAAGTATATCAATTAACTTTGTGTGTACATAATGAATGATATATTACTGCATATAACTTCTACAATGATCAGGTATATACCAAATGCTTATTTATTTTCATAGAAATTGTATTATTAATATGGCCAATATTAGCTATAATATTTTGTAGGTTCAAATTACACTAGCCAAATCTATCTGATTGCTTTGCCTGAGACTGGCAGCCTGATGACCACCTCAGTAGTACCGCTATTGTGGTCAAGAGAAGTATTAGAGCCTACTTGTCATTGATGCAGAGCATCCACCTCTCTACCAGTAATCTTTCTACAACTTCTTGCTTACTTTGTTTTCTTTGTAGGTATTCTTGTGCTGTGATAAAGGCTGGCTGGCGAGGCTGATTCACATCACTGTGGGAGCTCTGTGCTTCACAGCAACACTTATCACTGTATTTTTCACAGAGACCAAGCTGATTAACTTTGTTAGAACGCAGTTCCTGTCACGATATACCAAGAAAGAAACTTAAAATGATCATGTACGGAATAATTGTTATGTATGTATGTATATGTTTGCTACAAAGGTATATTTTATATATAAAATATGCACAGGATAAGTTTTAATGGCACCTTGTAAGGTTTCTTTAAAAAAACAAACAAACAAACAAAAAAACTCCCATAGAATATTTCTGAGACTGTGTAGCTGAAATGGAAATATTTGGCAACCAGATACTATTTCCATTTTCAAATCCTTTAAACTCATAACAGGTTCCAACACAAATTATACCAACCCTGAGCCAGGTAATTCTCCTTGTCATTCTTATCAAAGCTTTTTCCTTCATAACAGTATTGCCTAACATGAAACAATTTGGAACGGAAAACTTCAGACATTTTATGTTCTAAACAAATAAATGGAATGCACAAACTTTTATATGGATGCATGTGGATTGTACAAGAGTGCTTGTTTTTCTATATACCGTTTACTTACCATCCTAGTCAATATACCCAAAATATACTTCTTCAGTGTTCACTAAACTAGTGAACAATATTGTGTTTTGGAAGGAAGTTCTGCAAAGCGTAAGCCCTCTCTGTTCTTTCTCCTGAGTGCAAGTCACAGCTGAAATTTCCCAAAGTCCAGAAGCTCAATAGAGTTAAACTTAAATCCTATAACTTTTATTTTATCTCTATTTTTAGTCAATTTATAAATACCAGTGCAAACAAAAAATTTAAATAAAAATATTCTCTCATAATTCACATGTGTAAAATATGTCCCAAATGTCTGGATGACCAAAATGGCGCGCGCGCACGTGTGTGTGTGTATGTGTGTGTATGTGTATATATATATATATAGCTTCATTGTTGGATGGAAGCATCTTTTCACTTGCTCAAACTTTCTGAATAGTTTCCATGGACAGGC